CCCACCAGGACTGCGGCTGCTGCGGATCTCCTTGGGGCATCCTAAGACTCTCCACCCCACCCACTGTCGTCTACATTTCGATTCCATTGGCAACTAGGGGAATAGACACGCAGACCTTAGCGTGAAGGTCACTGATGAATCGTAAATAGTGGAGTGGTTCAGTGATAAACCTCGACTCTTACACTCTTTCAAACCAACCCAACTCTGTTTACTTTGGTCAGTAATTCTCTGTCCCCCAGACGTGTTGTAAGCCATGCTGTGAGTGGCCCGGTGATACTCACTTTTCCCAAGTTTGGCCAACCTGGTGTCGTTTGGGACACCTTCAAACATTTTGGCCTGGTATGGAAAGATGACGTGGGCTGGTTGTTTGTTGTCCCATTTATCGGTCCAGTCATCTCAAACAATCATCGGGTCTGTTGCTTATGACCTTCCGGTTCTCAAGCCATGTTGGGTGGGACGGATGCTGTTGTTTCCCTTCAGGTAGTCCCAAATGATATCTGCAAAGAGGCTCTCGAGTACCTTGGATAATATGAAAAGTAAGGCTATCGGTAGGTAATTGCATGTGCTTTTTGAGCCTTCTTCCTCCAAGATGGGTGAAAGGACGGCACGCCTAAATTCTTTTGCAAGTTGACTTACTTCCAACGAGTGGACGAGCTGATTGCATATGGGCATGCTCAACACTCCAGCGCAATTCTGTAGGACTACAAGACTCATGCAGTCACAGCACAGAGACTTCCCAATACTGACCGTTGAAAGTTTTGCAAACGCTCGGTTTGACGAAACCGTTACCTTCATCAGCTTTGTGTGGCAATCATGGCATCCCAACACATTACCAGGTTTCGGTGGTGGATTCATTACTATACTGAGCTGCCCGTCTGATCAGCTGCTCAACAATCCCGCTGCCTGACTGCTATTCGAGGGTTCTCCATTCAGTCTTGTGATCAAGTTTAAACCTTTATTCATCGGTTTTCTTTGTGAAATAAATCAACTTAGGCTTTTTGATACAAAGCTTAGCTGTTTGATCAGGTTGCTCAGTTAGTTGTACCTGTTATCATGAACATTTATGTGACATAGGTTGCGTGACTTCTTGTAGCCAGAAAAGTCCTATTTCCGGTGGAATAAGGGTCAATCATACACTTCCCTCTTCCTCTGTATCCGCCTCTGAGTTGCGCGAGTAACCCAAAAGAGTTGGAGAGGTGGTCGTCTGATTACTTTCGGAGCACTCTTTTTGATAGCGTCTTAGATGACACCTTGAATGCGCATGCATTGTTCTTCTATCGTTATAGGTTGCCATTCTTGTTGCCACGGGGATTCAAGAGTTCATTATCCATGGGCTGGTAGTTTGCCTTTCGGTAACAGTGAGACACTGCAGTTGGCAGAAAAATGTCACCATCGAGCGATCGATTTAGCCTTTGGGGTGCCGGATGTTGACCAGATATTGACCACCAAAAGATCGTCGTTTGTTAGAACGTCATCAAGTAGTGATCCTTTTCCATCTGGTCCCAGTCGAGTGTCTTCCACAACTTTCCCGTCAGTCCCGCCTCCATAAATGCGTTTCTAAGTTTTCGTTCGAGAGGTTTATGTCTACAGCTTACTTCTCATCCTCAGTTGGGTGCTGATGTCTCGAAGTCTCCAGTGGGGGCCACGTGGTCATAAGCTGCCTAGTTGGGTATCGAAACCACTATGGGAAGTTGTTTCTTGTGCTCTGTCGCGTATTCACGATACCTTTACAACTCCTAATGGGTATTTTGGCTGGTTTATGGTGAAATAGGACCACAAGGAGCGTAGTAGTTGGCTAAACACAGTGTCAGCCCTCTCCCAATAAGCACTGTCACCCTGATCCTTCTCTGAACCGCTTATCCTTTAGGAACAAGGTCATGCTAGGTGCATATGTTTCCTGGTTCAAGACTTATGATGAGAGCCATGTCTCCATATTGAGAGCTGTACCCGCATACAGATAACAATACACTGACCTTAGCTCCGGCACTTTACTTCCCAGGCTTCCTATATGGCAGCAGAAGCATGTCAAGAAGCTACGCTCTGGGCTTTTGCAGTACGGAAGTTTGTGTGAAGGTAATTCTGGTGTCTAATAGGATGCTGACTGCCAGTCCATATTGGACTGGCAAGCCTGTGTTTTTGGTTCTTCCTGGTGTTCTGCTGCTGGTTTGAGGGAATTGCTTATCATTATATCTGGACACTAGCTCATTTAAAAGGTCTCTGCTGGCTAGCACTGCCCACAGTGATCTCGGAGATTGTCTCCTGCTCTCCAGGCCAGTTGATCGCGGTTTACATTCGCAGCATTGTATGGCACCATCTGTTTGATCTTTTACGAGATAGCAAGCTGTAAGTGCTTATGGGAGTGACGCCTTGGGGTCGAAGCATACGGCTAGCAACCAGGGCAAAGCTATGTCTTGAAGGCGGGTTGGTCTTATTAGTCAACTTACGCCGATGGTAGGCCAGCTTTCTGGCCCCATTTGCGCCACTGGCCACCTGCACTGCTCGAAATCGTAGAAGTAACGGTCACGCTTCGCGGATCCTTCAGCCAGTTCAGGTATTTCATCCACCGACATGGTTGTGGCTTCGTCAAGTAGTTTGTGTAAGAGTGCGGCAAAATTCCATGATGAGAGACCAGAAGACCTAGGTTTTTCCCCTTAGTTACTGTGGGCTTCGTGGCGACTTGTTAGGGGGTTACAAACACTAAGTAATAAGTAATGGTAAGTCCAAGTCCTGAGATCAGTGGGATCCCACCGAACGGCCTCTCTGGCGGTTTTCGTGGTCACCCAGGAGGAACCTTCCACCCACATGCTTTCACGCTTTTTCTCTCTGCGAGTTTGTATCCACTGAAACTCATTGCCTGCCAAGATTGCCACCGCTCCATCTGTCTCCTGCTTCAAGGACAGTTTGGATATTTGTGCAGCGACGCATGGTTTGGGACCAACCAGCTGCGGTGGGTACTGTGTTTATACAACCAGCTAATTGCGAACAATCTGGAACATTCAACCCAACAACGAATCTCTAGTGTCACCATCATCTTTGTGAACTTCGGCTAAGGTTCCTCGCTAGACTTCCGTTGTAAGCGTCCACGCCAGACGTCAGGCCCCCAGTTACAATAACACTACCATTTCCATCCGCTCCCTCTCTTCCGGCTCTCTCTGACTCCATGACGTCACACTATTTATTAAGGTTCTCCCCGAATCTTCCTAGTTTTCCGCTTCATTTCCGCTCCGCTTCCTCTAAACTTGTTTTTTCTCGGTCCTTCTGCCTAGTTCTTGCCGGGCATCTGTTCATTCTTTCCATCTTCCTTCCACAACCGGTCTGACCAACTGCCTGGCAGCATGACACCCAAGGAACCCATCTGCACACGGTTCTTGAAAAAAGCACGCGATTCTCATAGATCTGTTCAACAGTTAGCCCTTAGTCAGGCCACCGGAGCTACAGCAGGCAAGTAGGTGGGTATACTTCATCAGAATCTTCTAAAAACCTAGAAGCGAGTGCGAACAATTCAACTGCCTTATACTAGCTCATAAAAAGGAATTAGATATTATATCACAAGACCAGCAGTGACAACTGAAAGGGAAAAATAAAAGCAGCTTGTTCACTTCTAGGGATATTTCGAGGCTAAAGTGTATGACAGAAGAAGGCCGAACAGATAAGCCACGCTTGGACAGGAATCTAGCCTTGGTTCTTGGGGACTCAATCAAGAAACTGGACTATGGCAAGGCCGAAACAAGTGCACTGAAAGTGGCGAGTACAAACAGCCATCATTAAATGCACGAAGTTTGCCTGACCAACTCTATGAGATAGAGGACTCGGCCACTTGAGCAATGTTCACTTGAATGATGCTACCAGGATATAGGTTTCCCTACTTGTCATGCAAGCTTGAGTTGAGTCTCAACTAATGTGCTTTTTTTCACCAAACAATTACATTTCACGTGTGTTTCCCATACAGACCAAAAGGGGGAAGTTATTCTAATAAAGGGGGAATAAGTGGGAAATAAGGGGAATGTTAACAGTCAAATAAAGCCACATTTGTGGGGGAATGCAACCGATTTCTAGCCTTTACGCTTTTTCCTCTTTTTGCCGGCTTCCCCTAAAATTCGCTCCCTTATTCTAATCTTGTCTATTTTCCCCATTATTGTCAGCCTAGCCCCCTTTAATTATCGTCATTTCCCACCTAATTCTAGGCTTTTCCCCTTTAATTCGCATAGTTTCCACTTAATTCTCGACTTTACCCTTCGTTTTCAAAGTGCTGCAGTGCAAATAATTAACGCTATGTCAAGTTACCTAGCAACAGGTGATATAACTGTTTCCACCGTGTTAATATTTGGATACATCGAGACCATAAGATCCATCATGTCAAGGTCCAGAGAATCGTATACAAAATCACCATCTCCTTTCCTCGCAACCCTGTAAATGCCACTTCCAGATTCAATGTGTCTCACTGCTTGCACTTCTTTTGGGGTAACGAGAAGGTAGCTTTATCTGCAATCTCCCTGTCCTTGTAGCCATGACGTTTCTGAACTAGTTTTAGATTGCATTTTAGTAAACATTATCACATTCTATTAGTTTTTCCCAACCTATAATTGCCCAGTCACTCTGTGGAGGTATGCAACTCCTGATGACTTCAGCATCAATATTATCTTTGAATAGACATAGGTTGTCACAGCACATCCACTTGCTGGGTACGATGACAAAATCCTTTAATTCTTTCATAACAAGCAAGAAGAAAGTAACACCTGAAGAAAGCTTGATAAAGGTGTTACGGCAAGGTAGTTTGCTTGAAGACGAAAGCCTTATTATTCATAGCAGCATTACTTAACTGTTTAGTGATAATCAAATATTTAGTGCATAGATAAATAAAACCATCAATTGCTTTGTACATAAGTTTAATAACTTAGGGACTTGCGGTCCACTGACTTTAAAATTTGGAGCTAATTAGATGAAGGCTTATGTCACTTCATCAACAACCAGTTGTATTTCGTTACGAAGCATTTAAACAACCTGAGTTTACAGGCACAGGCGGACTTTAAGAGTTGTGTTACAAGGTGTGGTTGTGACTCATTTGAAACTTTCCTCATTCATTCTCGAGTTCCGATCTCCAGACTGCTTCATCTCGTGAATTATTGCCGTTTAAAATCGTCTTCTATTAATAAATGTGAGTGCATATTTGTACTTTCTTAATCGTCGGCTTACATTTTATCTCTTGTTTTTATGATCACCGCTGAACTCAGATTTCTACGCACCTTCCTTCAACAGCATACCTACTGACTGGAGGAAAACCCACTAACAATTGGTCGATACATTGTTTTAACACCTCAGTAAGTCATACATTTGTAACTTTAGTATCCTGAGCAAACCTTTCGATTGTCGACATTCAACACCATTGTGTTGATGTTTTTAGCTTAGATATGTTCTATAGATCTTGACATTTTTTCCTTGTGAAGCAGCCTAATTAACTCGGTTGAATTGAGAAGAGTTTTTCAGGTGCAGCTTTAGGATGACTATATTAAGTAGCACAACGCTAACTAAATGACGTGACTTGATCCTGTATTCATTTTTTTTTTACGGAACCGAATCTATTCAAGAATGGTGCTGATTGCACGTTCATCAGCCTTTAATATATGTTTTAGTGCTGTAGTCATTTTACTGATACTCTTCTCTAAACTGTTCACTCATTAGCATACTGACCAACTATATAAAAACGACCTAAATATTGTTGTCGTGCAGTTGGTTAGACTGTGATTATAAAGTCCTTTCCGGTAAGACTGCAGAGTCTTGCCATACTTGAGTGACTACCGGTGGGTCTTGTGGCTGCATTTCACATGAAGGACAATTACAGGGGAGAAGTTTCTACTGGAGTATGCTCAAGTATTAGGTAGCCCACCCTGAAACCAAGGGACGAATATTATTTAAATTTCGTAGACCGTACCATTTAATCTCAATTAACTTCTCAGTACCCAGTAAGTTATAAAGCAGAAAACAAACAGCAAGTAAGGCCTCTTTTCGTCATCGGGGCTTCGAAATCTATAGATAGTCTAGCTTCTTATGCCACGAACCTAGTACTCTTTGAAAATTTCAATCTCTAACTGCCAAGTAATTCAGCAAAGGTTCACCTGATTAAAAACGATAAGGGAACAGTTAGGTTTATTCACGTTTGTATCATCTTTCAGGTAGTATCATTTTTCGTAGTCACTTGGATGAATACTTCTACGGTATATACTTTTACTTCAAGCAGAAATGAGCAGTCAGAATCATAGACGAGTTCCTAAAAGTCTTTCCCTTATATTTATTACAAAGTAGGAAGAAACAACCGTTTTATTTGTGCATTTAAGATCGTACAGTGGTCGTTCAAGAACGACAAGATTCTATGCGTCTACCTCCTTTTCTAACCATTAAATTGGCTTAGGTCAAATCGATTATGTGTATTTTTGCAAGGTATTTGTTCATTTGTTGGCTTGGGGTTACTTTTTTTCATTTTCACGACACATGTGTAACAGCACAAACTAGTGGTGTTAAATTAATTCAAATATACAATATGTTGGCGTGTGGTTTTTAAGCTAATGGTTAAACTGGGAATATGTCAGGTCAGTTTAGTCACTTTTCGTAAGGGGAGCTAGGTTATCTTTTTTGTAGTAATTGGAATGACCCGTGATTTTTAGATGTAATGATTCGAGTCGTCGTTAACCGTGACACTAAAACCATAGCAGGTGATATGGCTAAAAATCGGTCACAGCGGCGCAGATCTCTTCACTCCTTGACATCTAAAGCTTGAATATTCACATTAACCTTTATCTTTAGCTTGTTTATCCTACCATACAACTTTATTTCTATATCACCCCTTTTCTATCTATCTGTTCTTTGTATACTACTGTACAGTGTGGCAACTCGAGCCGGTGCACGTGTGTGCGAGGTCCTGCGTTAATTTTGTCAGCTAGTCGTAGTGGGTTGTGGGTCAGCTATCCCTAAGTAATCCCAGTTCTCTTTATGAAACCCTTCAGAAATTCGACTCGAATGTCTTAGCTGTTATGCAGGATACGATAACGTTGATGTTTCAATAGTAAAAATCACTTTGTTTTCAAGAGCATTTGATTGGTTGTTTGCGGCTCAAAGTAAACTGTACGAAGTAGAGCCTGTTCTTGTTTTTTCTTGTTCGCATTTTCCACTCGGTAGGAGTCGCTGCGTTTTTTGTGGTGATTAGATATCTGATTATTGTCTTATTCAACAGTACCTCAAGCGGAGCAGTGTTTACTTACCAGCCCCTGATTAGCTGCTAGAAATTTGATTAATTTTGGACGTCATTGTTGATGTTACCCGTAACGTATATCATGTCCTAATTAGGAAATTAGTTTGGGCAGTAAAACGGTATTTCAAATATGAAGTTGATATATTAGTATGGCTAGAAAAGATAGTGTTGAAAATTGGCAAATAGCTATGCAGTATCTGAAAAGAAGCTACTGAACCATTTTGAGACTTGTTATTTCACAGTATTTTAAGGAAACTCTGTTCAGCATAACGTTGGCCAGCGACTCAGGTACTGATTTATCCCACCTTTTTTGTTTAGAACTGATCGTCTGAGAAGACATGATCAGGAGTTTCAAAATCTACGGCTAAAAAGTCATCTAGAAAGCCAGTTTCTCGCACTTAGTTATGAACCAATGGGACTTACAGAAAAGTAATTTAAGTGCCTGATGTTGGAAACCTTCATAGGAAGGTTAGATTTTCAGTGCTGCAAGTTGCAGTAGTTAAAATAGTTTGTACTTTCTAAAATTAAAACCATCCTGTTTACAAGGATAAATGCTATAAAAGTTGAGTAATTGTTACGTTTTCGTACTCACTTGTCAGTGACTATCTACATTTCTGTATTCTGTTTTAATTACATAGTGTACGAAAATAAATTTTCTAGTACAAGCAGATGGATAGGGGATCAGATTACGTCAATCCAGAGCGCCACACTTTCCAGCTTCCCAAAAAGATGAAGTGGACAGAAATAGACTGGTATTACAATAATTAAAGGTTGTATGTGGAGAGAATAAATAAGTAGAATTTAATGATATTCGGAATCTCACAAATGTCGTTTTCTGCTTTTTATAACATTTTTATTGTGTAACTAAATAGTATACAATGTGATTTCACAAAGGCGTATTTAAATTTGTGCAATTAATATAATACAAAAATAGGATGGGCTTTTTATTTTAACGTGAGATATACGAAGGAAGATTGACCGTTCAGGAATAAACGTGAAAATAGTAAGGTAAAAACAGTATATTATTTTTGAAAAACAATATATCACGAGCAAATGTTATGCAAATAGTGCGATGAAGTTATAACTAATCGGGATTCATGAAGTTATTGTACGATTTTGTGTAACATTCTTGCGTATCAGTTGGAGTTGTGTGAATCACTAATGGTGCCGTATTAAGGGACATCTATTCCATATTTTTTATTTACCCCAGAAAAGTACAGACAAACATGTAAAAGTTCTGCAACGACCCTCCTAAAAATGTAGCCTTTTTGTAGGACTTACGCTCCTTCAAATGGCATTTTATGTTCTGAAGAAGAGGCGTGCTTATCGATGACAAGGCATATCGATAAAATCAAAGTAAACGAGTGCATCGGTTCAAGTTACCACATTTCACAGTAGTATACATAGAAGAAGTGGATAGGTAAGGTTGATATCAAAGTAAACAAAATTGTATGGGAGTTGAGAAAATTTAAAAATTCAGGTTAGTCAAAACATCCAAGCTTTAGAAGACATCAAAGAGTGAATACATCTACGCCATTGTGACTGGTTCCCGACCATTTCACCAATAGTCCTCAATCACTGATTCCTGCTGTCTCAAGACCCCAGCCAGGTAGTTTGCACACCTCTGCATAGCTGAGACCAACATTCGGATACTTCACGAACTGGTCCCACGTCCTAGTCTGGCCACCCTAAAACCTCTTCCAACCTAATCCAACCTCTAGCATTCACGTCGAGGTAGGTGGGGGATTGGCATGCATAGCACGTGCCCATGCCACCTCAGTCAGTGAAGGTTCACAACCTCATTGACTGACTTGCCTTCCTTGCTTGGTACCCTTCGCCCGACCTCAATACTGCTCACATACATGGTGATCCCACCATATGCAAGCAATGCTACGAATACACCTGTGACAAAAAGTCAATCCCTTTGAAGTCAGACGCACTTAAGGTGATGTCCATTAGCACATCTATGATGAGATTAAGTAGGAGCGGTAACAGTGAACATCCCTGGTGCGCATCACCAGTTGTCGTCAATTCTGATGACAACTCTCCATAAGCCTTTACACGGCTGCGTGAGTTTGAAAAGAGAGAGCTTTAATTAGCGTTATGTGCTTCTTCAGTACTCCTTTCACAGCTAGATACTTCTGGCTAACTAACTGACAGAATCAACGCATAACTTCACTCAGACACTGCCTTAGCACCTCACGGTCGGTAGAGTTGAATGTCGCCTTTAGGTCATGAAATATGACAAGTGTCGACCATTGGCCGGTATGCACGCCTGTGTTCCGGGACCGTTCGGAGGGTGAAAATCTGGTCGATGCACCCTCGCGTATGTCTGAAACCTTCCTGGTTTCCTCGAGTTTGCTGTTCTCGAGCTCCAGTTAGGCGTCGGATAACTGTGGACCGTAGGATATTGGACCCAGTATTAGTCGAACTTATCCCCCTGTGATTGTCATAGGAAGACTTCTGTCCCTTCCTATAAACTGGGATAATCAGTGAAGTAGACCATTCTGATTCTCATACACTACCTCATACCTCCGTTACTCTAGTCAGCAGTTTCCTACCCCCATCCTTAAAATCTTTGGGTCGGGAATCGTCAGATCCTGCTGCTTCGCATCGTTTCAGGTTAGAAACAGCTTCTTTTTTTTAAAAACTTAAACGAGGGTTAAAGGACCGACATCAACGTCTCACTCATGTTCAGGCTGGATGTTGGGCGGCTGGAGTGTCGCTGTGGGGCACTTGAACTATGCTTCAAAGTGCTCTGCTCAACGTCCTAGGAGCGACGTGAAAGTCTTCTTCAAGGTTCTGTAGTTACATAAATGTTCCGGTTAATGTTTGTAACTTCATCCATTTTCATTTAGGCCTGTAATTTCGCATCTTGATGTCTCTTTAATGCATGTGGCATCGGATTCGGGCTCTACTGTTCTAGTTATAAAATGCAAAGTGAATTCGAGGGATTTGTGGGGATTTAGAGATATTTCAAGCTGTTATTCATTGTATACTGACATCAGTTGGAGGAACAGTGGACACATGGGAGCCCTGGACAGCTGTTTCGTCCTAGTATGAAACTCTTCAGCA